TATATATATATATATATATGTATGTCTTAATGTGTGTGTATGCATGCATATATATATATGCATGCATGTATATATATATATATATGTATATATATATATATATATATATATATATATATATATATATATGCATGCATACACGCATACAAACTCAGACACACACACACACATATATATAAGTCTGAGTTTGTATGCGTGTATGCATGTATATATATTTATATATATACACACACACACATATATATATCATAAAGTAAGTATACAAATAATTAATTAGTAATGTTAATGTGATTAATGGCGAAATGACTTCGCTAACAAGACTTAATGAGATATTTACTTGGATAATGCGATCCTTAGAGTTGAATTGTTGTTAGATGGAATTGATGATTGTCCTGGGCTTAGTACTTTCGACAATTTCAAATTGTCATCTTCAGGACGTAATATTTCTATCTACATCATATATATATATATATATATATATATATATATATATATATATATATATATATATATGTGTGTGTGTGTGTGTGTGTGTGTGTGTGTGTGTGTGTGTGTGTGTGTGTGTGAAATTGAAAAGTTTATTTATTGGTATGTTTATTTGCTAGCAATATGAAGTAAAAAAGCAATCCCAAATAGCTTGAACTGTAAAAGGCTTGTTGTTCAACATTGCAGAATAAGTAATGACTTATTTGCAAAGAAATTTAGTTTTATAAATTTCTGTATTAAATAATCTGTATTAAATCGTTTTCTCCTACTGGAGCCCAGTGTATAATTGTGCATCTGTAAAATTGCGGATGCTCAAAAACAAACGTCTATTTATGGCATTTATAAACAATTTATTAAAAGAAAACTCGTTTTTTCGGGAAGCACTTCCTTTAACAATCGAATAAATACCTGGAATCATCGACTTAATTTCCAACACAAGTAAAACAGAAAAAAAAAAAAAAAACAAAACAAAAAAACTCAATATTAACAGTAATAATACTGAAATAAAATAATGTTTTCATTCTTAAAGTTCATTGTATGCGCAGTTATTGAGCTCACTTAGCGGATTTCATCTATATATAAAATTCTGTGATTTCCGTTATTTTGTCCGTCTGTAGGTCACACATTTTAAAATAGCCATACATTAACCAACTGAAACCAAATTTTGGGGAGAATAGTAAATAGTAAATCTGGCATTTCGTTGGCCTCGAAAAGAACCTTCAATCTGTGGGTCAGGAAATGGCTTGTAAACTTGTAATGCCTCCAAAACGAAACTGCTCTCATTTACCCATTATAGAGAAATCTCCCCGCCTCCTATCAGCATGTTTGGTGCTTAAATCACGAGAGTGTTTTTCTGTGTCTTCTTGACCTCACGTTTTCCACTAACCTGAGGTGAAACAACTTCATTGAACCAATAGCTACATCTACCGTAAGGAAAGTTGGTTCTCTGTGTCACGTCAGAAGGTTTTTCTGGTCTGAGTCCATTCTTTAAGTCTCCATATCTACCATTCGTCCTTGCATTGAATACTGTTGCCATATATGGTCTGGTGACAAAATCCAAAGACGGATACGCAATGTGATAGGTCCTGACCTAGCATCTCGACTCCAGTCACTTTCTCACAGATGTGATGTGGCTTCCCTCTGTCTTTTCTACAAATATTTTCATGGCAACTGCTCTGACGATCTATTTTCAGTGGTGCCTCAATGCATGCATTTAAGCGTGCTACTAGGTTGGCATATCGGTCCCACCCTTTTATTGTCGAAACAGTTAAATGTAACCGCCTCTTCTACTCCAACAGCTACCTTTCTGGCACTTCCCGACAGTGGAACTCCCTTCCCCTTATTTGCTTCTCTGATAACTATAATCTTTAAAAGTTTAACTGTAATGTCAATCGACATCTTCTGATACCTTGATCTTGATCCCCGTCCTTCTCTTTATGCTTTCCTCAAACACCTCTCTTGACTTTTACTTTCAATCTCTGTGGGCCCTTGCGTGCTAGTGACACTCCTGCCCTTCTTCGGGTGAAATGTATAAAAAAAGTGCAAACAGGGAAGTGGGTGCAAAGTACAGTTGGTTTTACTAGGGTGCGTAGCTTTGTACAATAAATTCTAGGAAAAATTGAAAGTTTTATTATTTAATATACAAAATACACCTACTATTTTAAAAAACAAAAAAATAATATATATTATATAATTATTACAAATTATTATATTATTTGTTATAAAATAACAAATACTTATTTAATAAAAATGTAATATTGTTGTTTGCATATGTTTTCGTTAAGCTTTTATATATAGAAGTATCAAATTTCCAGTTCACCCTGCGTTTGCGAGAACTATAAGCAAATCATAAAGCCAAACGCTTCAAAATGTTGGAATTTGGCTGCAGAAAGAAATATTTACTTATGACCAGTTGTATGCTGCATGCTCAAGAGTAAGAACTTCTAAGAATTTTTTCTTCGCTGTGAAAAAGGAAAAGGAAAAAAAGAAATTTTCTTAAAAGATATTGTTTGCCATGAAGTCCTATAAAATTAAATCAAATTATAAGAAATTATTAAACCGCGAAATAGGGTTTTTGTTGAAGTATTTTTCCAAACGAATCAGCTTATTCAAATTTCATCGATTGATTTGCGAAATTGAAGGAAATATAGCGTTTGTAAATCTCGACAAAAATGTTAGCGATAAGTTCGACAATGCTAAGTACTGTGATGATTTCAACACGCGTTAGTGTGTTACAAAAAATTCTAATTAATATAAACACTTTAACGCCAAAACTTGGATGATTTATAACTAATATTTCATTTTTCATGAAATTATTCAGGTGAAATTTAATTACAAATATTAGGAAATTTTTCTTAATGATAAAATTTAACTCTCTCTCTTCTTACTTTTCTCTCTTTCTCGCTCTATATGTTTATTATAAGATGCGAGAGAGTGAAATTTTGAGAATATGCTATAACGAGAGTGGCTTTGTAAGTTATGCCTTCTATTTTATTGGCGAACAACGTCAGAAGTAGGCATTGATAGAATGGTAATAGGGGCTGGATTTTCTTACAAATAATCCATCATTTATGCTTTGTAACTAAGCAGTAGTCTGGCAAAATGACATATGACATGAAAATACATACGAAACAGAGATGCAACATTCCGGAAAAATGAATTCACTGAAACGCATCAAATCTCGCTGAACGTTTATGGAGATCAAACAGTGTATGTAAGTACAGTTAGGGGGGGAGGCCCTGCACAGTGAATAACATACCAAATGAAGAGCGCCTTGTAAATGCAGATACAATGGCGTTTACTTTATATTTGGTACTTGAAAACATGCCCTATATCACGGTGTCATTGAAAAACCCCGTATCTATTGTGTGCATAAAGTGTGGTGTTTCTTAGGTGTTGTAACGCGAAGAGATCATTTAGCAGGGTAGCAAAACGGTTATTAGCGCGAAAAGAGAATTCGACGAGCCGAATTCAAATTCCGGACGAATGTTTCGTACATTTGGCGACGATGCTTTTGGGAAAGGCATGCATTCATTTTTTTTTTCTCCAACTATGTCTAAAATAGCAGCGTCGAGTGAGCTGTCTTGCCTTGGGGTGACCAATTTAGGAGAAGGAAATCTCTGAAATAGAAATCAGCTAGAAGACTGACAGTTTCCATCAGGCTTTCCTGCTCCAGAGTCCCCCGCCAACACTACTGCTACGGTTGCAGGCCATGTAATGTCCCTAATGGGTTACGGAACTCTTGAATGTTTAATAATTCAGGGGTTTTCAAACTGTGGTCCGCGGACCACAGGGGGTCCGCAAGGAGAAGATAGGGGGTCCGTGGACAGCAAAGACTTTTTATGGGTGACGTGCAACTTATAAGCGCTTATAAGTAACTTATAGGCCGATCATGAAATAAATTGATCCAATAAACTCTTTCATAGATTTGATATACTAATATAATTTGTATCTTATATTGATAAAGATAATGGATTCTATTCATGCAGAGGAGGTACCAAAGGATTTGAATTTTGGATGAGGGGGTTCCTAAGGTAAAACCTGAAATATAAAGGGGTCCGCAAGTCAAAAAGTTTGAAAAACCCTAGATTCTAGCCATTACTTCTGTAGTAAATTCGGTTTACATTCAGTACCTCATCACCACTTGTGGCTTTGTGCACGTTAAGCTATTTTTAGTAAATATCTATAAAACAAGCCAACGACAAAACGTCGATTGTATGTTATTTATTTTCTGTTGATGTTTGTGTCAATGTTGAATATAAATTCAGAAAATCAGTTGTGCGATTTATATTCCCTACATTCTTGGAAAGTGATTCATTTGAAAGAAACGGAGGAGATTTATATAGCTTTCAGGCAAATGTTATTGAAAATACGCCGCTTTCCTCTGTCTTTTCTACATATATTTTCATGGCAACTGCTCTGGCGAGCTTCTTTCCCTGGTTCCAACAGTAAAAGGGTGGGACGTAGATTGCCATCTACGTCCCATTCTTTTACTGTTGAAATAGTTAAATGTAACAGCCACTTCTATTCAAATACTTTTTTTTCTCGCACTTCCTACCTGTGAAACTCCCTTCCGTTTACTTTCTTCCCTGAAAATTACAATTTAAAAAATTTAAATGCAACTTCAATAACCATTTTTTTGAATCCCATTCATCTTTCATCTTTTCCTCCAGTCTTTTCTCTCACTTTCATTCCATGTAGCCCTCTGCGTACTGGTGGCATTCCTGCCTTGCTTGTGGTGAAATGATTAAAAAAAAATAATAATGAAAATACCAACGAATAGAATGTAACTACGAGTTGTGCTGAAAATTTCTCGGTTCTATCCATTAACCAAAATGAGTACTAGTTTCTGGAAGTGGGTCGGGCCAATAACCTTTTGGTACTTACCTTGTATATACTCATGCAAACAGGTACACAAACATATACGAAAAGGCGAACAGTTCGTGATATCCCAAGAGGATTGCGAATATGAGCGTGTGACTGAGTGGTGAGGACGTTATCGTTTTGAGACTCACATTTCCCGTACGATCATAAAAGTTAAGCAACGTCGAACCTGGTCAGTACCTAGATGGGTAATCGCTTGGGAATACCAGGTGCTGTAAGCTTGGATGTGCAGGTGATCTAATGGATAATGGCTCGGAATTGTTGATCGGAGAGCCGAGTTTCGATTCCAGTTGGGTTCGTTATATTCACTTGAGACTCACTCATCGATTAGTCGGGGGTTGGCTTCCAGATAATATCCATACCACAGGTTGATCAAAACTTTGTGAGTGAAATTTGGTAGACGAAACTGTTCGGAAGCAGTTGATAGCACGAATTCATTAGTCGTCGTGACTGAGCACACTAGACTTGTATAACTACTGATCATGCAAAGTTGTGAGCGCTCTCTCAGGAACTGTAACTAGCACCCACACATTAATCTTGCAGTATAAATCAGAGAGTGTCTCTCTGGGCGTCGTAGAAACGAAAATCTGCAGCATGGATAAGATAGCCAACATAAATGGGCGTAAACGGAAAGCGAGTTGCTTATTATTATTATTATTTTTATTTTCTTTGATTTCTGGCGTTTACACATTTCTTTCCGGGTCCCGCCCAGGGACCTAAGGTTAGAAATGGCATCATGACACTTTCCACTGACAAAAAAAAAATTACATAGATAAAGCCCTTCGTAAGGTGTGGGCTGTACTTGTCAGAACAATTTTTTGTATCTCCTTGAGGCATGAACTTCCAGGAATCCCTTCAATTAGTCTACTGCAATCTTTTCCAACAAGTCCTAGGGCTCCAACTACAACAGGGATTGTTGATGTTCCCATATGCCACATTTTCGAGATTTCTATTTCAAGGTCCTTGTATTTTGACAGTTTTTTGAATATCTTCAAGGATACATTGCAGTCAGCAGGGACTGCCATATCAATAAGGAGGCACCGTTTTTGTTTGTGGTCTTTAATAACAATATCTGGCCGGTTGGCCTTGATTGTTCTGTCAGTGTGTATTGTGTAATCCCATAGAATTGTAACAGGTCCTATCTCCGTAACCGGGTCTGGGTGGTGTTCATACCAGTTTCTTTCAGTTTCCTTCCCGTAGAAGTTGCAGAATTATTATTATTATTATTATTATTATTATTATTATTATTAATTTGAAAAGCGTAAAAGTTCCCAAAGAGAAGGGTGATTATTTTTGTGCTTAGTAATCTTAACTTTTTCATTGGGTAATTATTTCTGTCGTGAATATTATGCTACCCGGGTAGGACCTCAAGTTACCCATCCTCCAGTCTACTCCTCTCTTCATCCAGCAAGATTTCAGTCATGAAAATATATGTAATATACATAAATGCATAGATATAGAGATAAATAGATGGAAAGCCGACAATACGAACGATTAGGATGTGGATAGATTATATCTTTTCTGTTTATTTAGATGCATGTGCAGATAGAAAATGGTAGATGTTATCGATTTTGGAACGTTCATACGAATTGGTACATACAAAAAAAATGATAAAGAAGTAATTGGAAAAATATGGTCAACAATTTTTTTTGTAGAATATAGCGTATGAATATTTCCAATTACACGAAACGGAAAATGTTGAATCTCTACGTCTCTTCATACGAAAAAAAAAATCATTTTGAAAAAGTAAAACCGAATAAAACGTTTAACTTATTGATATCAGAAGGAATCTAAGTCAAATATATGAGAATGTAGCGGTAAATGACAGATTATGAAGAAAGAAAATAAGGATTCTTAAAATATTTCATTCTTTTTCCAGATCATCTATCCTAAGATAAGATATATATATATATATATATATATATATATATATATATATATATATATATATATATATATATATATATAGATAGATAATATTAGTGGTAAATATACACATACATATGCAATCATATATTTAAAATATATAAATATATATACATTAGTATTCTTTCGTTTTTTATTATTATTCCATTTAGATTCCTAATATATATATATATATATATATATATATATATATATATATATATAATTCCAAGAGGATAGAATCCAGGTAGAAATCAATGTTCAGTGTCCAGGACAGAGTAAGGATATAATAAAAAGGCTTAAACACTAATATTCCATGGTCATAATTTATTCCATTGGAATCGTAAATACGATCCAATTCATCAGACCTACAAATTCAAAAAGAAAACAGAAAAAAAACAGCTCTGGGAATATATATATATTCTTAAAATATTTCATTCTTATCCAGATCATCTAACCTAGGCTATATATATATATATATATATATATAGCTTCGGTTAGATGATCTGGAAAAGAATGAAATATTTTAAGAATCATTATTTTCTTTATATTATAAATATATATATATATATCTGTTGAATTGTGCAGTACATACATATATCATAAAGAAGTAATTATACTAAGAATTAATTATCAATGCTAATGTGATTAATGGCGAAATCACTTAGTTAACAAGAGTTAAAGAGACATTAACTTGTTATCATTTAAACAAGAACTTGCGATGCCGCAACGCTAGCGTTCTTGTTTAAATGATTCAAGTGAGAATCTTGTTTGAATCTAGTGATGTGATAAATCCTCGAATTTTTGTTGTTGTTTGTGTTTTCCAGTTAAAGTGACATAGACTGAAGTATAGTTAAATTAATAGAGCAAATTGTCTTAGCAGTTTTTTTCACGGAATTTAAGATCTTGAATATACTGCGGATCTGATTTTCGTAAAAATATTAGATAGTGCAGTATATATATTATATCATAAAGAAGTAATTATACAAAGAATTAATTATCAATGTCAATGTTATTAATGGCGAAATCACTTCGCTAATAAGAGTTAATGAGACATTAATTTATTATCATTTAAACAAGAACTCTAGCGTTGCAGCATCGCACATTCCAAAATAATATAACTGTCAATAAATTTCATATTTTTAAAAACATCTTTCGGTCTACACTACATTTATTTTCTCTTGGTGTTTACCTGTAGATAGAAATATTACGCCCTGAAGATGACAATTTGAAATTGTCGAAAGTACTAAGCCCAGGACAATCATCAATTCCATCTAACAACAATTCAACTCTAAGGATGTCATTATCCAAGAAATTGATAGTAAGTAAATATCTCATTAAGTATTGTTAGCGAAGTGATTTCGCCATTAATCACATTAACATTACTAATTAATTATTTGTATAATTACTTTATGATATATATATATATATATATATATATATATATATATATATATATATATATATGTATGTATGTATGTATGCATGTATGTGTATTAGGATATTACACCGAAAACATGTCGAAATCGCTACACAATTGCAATCGTGTCTCATGATTTGTTTGCCAAACAAATGTTTAGTTAAATCTTTTGTTTATCTTTGTATTAGCCCTACAGTAGAGAATGTGACGGTTGAAAAGTTTTATATTGGTAGTATTAAGAATTATTTCAAGACTAGGTGGTATCAATGTGTTGTCCTTTACTAGTAATACATAGAAATAATACATCACTTTCTAAATATTTTTGGAGTTTAAAAGATGATAATAAAACTCCTAAGGTGAAATGGGAAATTTAAAAAATGGCAAAGATATGAAGATTCTTGTATGAACCCTGTTTTCTGTGTTTACATGAAAAATTGAAAAGTATCAGCTTCTTTGATAAGAATGCTTTATTAAACCAAAGATCCGAGTTAATGGTAAATTATAAACACAATCTACCTTTTACCTTACAATTCAGTTAGACTTGGAATTTGACAATGTTTTTTCTTAGATTTTAGTTGAACTGTGTTGCACCGTATATGGCTTATCTTTGTAAGATTAATTTGGATTTAATATAATTTTGTATTAATCTCCTGGTAGTATTAGTAACGTCTTGTACGGATGTATTGGTATTTGGTTGGTATTTTTGACATTTTGCATTGATTGGCTATTGTTATTGTATTTGCATTTTAAACGTGGAGCAAACGTCTTTTGAGGATCAATCACGATCGGGTCGAGTCTCAAGAAAGTTAAAATGATGGAAATTGTGAAAAAGTTCGCCACACAATGAAGACAGGCTACGGGTGATATATCTGTGGTGACCGGCTCTGATGGAGTTTGCACTAGTAAACATCAATAAAAGATTTTAAAATGAGATTTTCCGTGAAATTCTTGCCTCATTTACTCACAGAGAATAAAGAAAATCAATTGTTTGAATGAGAGGCGCAAATGTGGCATTTTTTCTTTTTGAGGTTTGAATCGGGGATCATTGATTGATTAATACGTTTTTTTATAGCTTATCAATCCACTGCAGGTTATTTAAAGCCAGAAAAATTTAGATTGTAAGAATTTTTTTTATAGATAGTAATGGTTTAGTGATACAACTATTACTAATTAATCCATAGCTGGGGGCAGAAAATGTCGATTCATACCATTCTCAAGGGTATGTTGCGCTTAAGTGAATATAACGAACCCAACTGGAATCCAACTGGAACTCGGCTCTCCGATTAACAATTCCGAGCCATTATCCATTAAATCACCTGCACATCCAAGCTTACAGCACCTGGTATTCCCAAGTAATTACCCATCTAGATACTGACCAGGTCCGACGTTGCTTAACTTTGGTGATCGTACGGGAAACAGTGTTACAACGTGATGTGGCTGTAAGCCGAATCGGGGGATCAGCATTGGTTCTATGACAGCGACCCAATGGAAAAAGTTACCCAAAATACCCAAAGGTGCACCGGGTAAGATCCAATGTCAAGACCATCAGAGGTATTGAGAAGATTGCGTGAAAGCATGCAAAGGAAACGACTAAAGGTATAGTGATTTTCTCAGCGTAGCTTAGATGTGGCACAAGTGATTGCACCCTTTCCCACGATAAGCTTTCCCGACGTTATAACAGCTTTAAATGTCTAACAGCTTTTGGGTAAAAACATCACGATGATTGTCTCATATACATTCTATTCCTTTGGCCATATGTCATTTTGACTTTTTTCTTCCCCTGATTTGAAAGAGAAATTCTAACGTCGACGAAATAAAAAAACAAACAAACAAACATAAAACATCGGTGGTTTTAGACACGAAAAAGTTCCAGTAAAGCTTACAGCAATAAAGAAAGAAAGAAAAAGACAGACATTGGAAGAAGAGCATTGAATCTAGAATGGTGAAATTTGAAGATAACTACACATACACAAAACGGAAAGACAGATGATCAGATGTCGAATGTCAATATTTTTGATGACAAAACTTAAACCAAACAATTTTTTATAAAAATTTACAATTCCGTAAAAAGGATGCGTGGCTTGTAGTGTAACGGACAAAACAAACGCGTTAAATGGAATCGCTGGGCCAAGTTCAAATCCCGGTGATTTTGCAGCTTAGGGCATCAGAATATCTTTATTGGGTTAGCCACGGTGGAGTAATGGATAGCAGCTCGGATTAATGAATCGGAGAGCCGAGTTCGAATTCCAGTCGAATCCATTACATTCACTTACGCGCTAATATCCTTGGGAAAGGCATGAATCCTCTTCTTCTCCCCCCAGCTATGGGTAAATGGCAGAACAGATCGGATTTTCTAGCCTTGGATGGCAACTGGTCTACTGCAGTAAGAAATGCCTTGAAAAAATCTGCCTCGTCAGTCATGTATAGAAAGATACATGATCGCCTCAGCGTGTATCACGTATGGCAAATAACTGACTAACTTTAGTTATAATTAATAAAGATTTTAAAACAATCACAAAAAATCCTTAATGATTGACAGAAATAAATGTATGTATATTGAATAGTTTTGTTATGATGTATTTTTACACGGTCACTAAAATAGACAATTATTAAGAGTTTAGTAATGTGTATTTGATAAAATATTGCCCTAATCATCTCACATGTTTTAGTAAAAATATTAGACAGTTGAATACAAATTTATTCAACTAAACGTGATGTGATAACCATTAAATATTTTTTAATGATTTATTGTTTTATAAGATTCAAGTAATAATAAAATCTCAGGTTTGGTTTGTTTTATTTTACGACTTATCAACATCAATGGGTTATTTAATGCCGACAAGATTTTTATTGCTGGTAATAGTTTTTCCAAAAATGTATTGTTGGTAATAATTATTTACAAAAATGTATTGCTGGTAATATTTTTCGTTTTCAAAAATGTACTGCTGGTAATAATTTTTCCAAAAAAATGTATTTCTGGTAAGAATTAGTCAGGGTGGATCTGTGAACACCAGCAGTTAAAAGGTGGTTCCATGCTCCTCAAAACCTCCTGATCAGAGGCCTTGCTGTTGGACGGAGTTTATCGTCTTACCCAGGAGGCGGATGTTTTTTTATCGTCTTACCCAGGACGCGGATGTAGTTTATCATCTTACCCAGGATGCGGATGTGGTTTATCGTCTTACCCAGGAGGCAGATGTGGTTTATCGTCTTACCCAGGACGCGGATGTATTTTTATCGTCTTACCCAGGACGCGGATGTCGTTTATCGTTTTACCCAGAACGCGGATGTAGTTTATCGTCTTACCCAGGATGCAGATGTGGTTTATCGTCTTACCCAGGAGGCAGATGTGGTTTATCGTCTTACCCAGGACGTGGATGTTTTTTTATCGTCTTACCCAGGACGCGGATGTAGTTTATCGTTTTACCCAGGACGCGGATGTAGTTTATCGTCTTACCCAGGACGCGGATGTTTTTTTATCGTCTTACCCAGGACGTGGATGTTTTTTTATCGTCTTACCCAGGACGCGGATGTAGTTTATCGTCTTACCCAGAATGCGGATGTGGTTTAACGTCTTACCCAGGACGCGGATGTAGTTTATCGTCTTACCCAGGATGCGGATGTTTTTTTATCGTCTTACCCAGGACGCGGATGTAGTTTATCGTTTTACCCAGGACGCGGATGTAGATTATCGTCTTACCCAGGACGCTGATGTGGTTTATCGTCGTACACAGGATGCGGATGTTTTTTATCGTCTTACCCAGGACGCGGATGTGGTTTATCGTCTTACCCAGAACGCGGATGTGGTTTATCGTCTTACCCAGGACGTGGATGTTTTTTTATCGTCTTACCCAGGACGCGGATGTAGTTTATCGTTTTACCCAGGACGCGGATGTAGTTTATCGTCTTACCCAGGACGCGGATGTTTTTTTATCGTCTTACCCAGGACGCGGATGTAGTTTATCGTCTTACCCAGAATGCGGATGTGGTTTATCGTCTTACCCAGGACGCGGATGTAGTTTATCGTCTTACCCAGGATGCGGATGTTTTTTTATCGTCTTACCCAGGACGCGGATGTAGTTTATCGTTTTACCCAGGACGCGGATGTAGATTATCGTCTTACCCAGGACGCTGATGTGGTTTATCGTCGTACCCAGGATGCGGATGTTTTTTATCGTCTTACCCAGGACGCGGATGTGGTTTATCGTCTTACCCAGAACGCGGATGTGGTTTATCGTCTTACCCAGAACGCGGATGTGGTTTATCGTCTTACCCAGGAGGCGGATGTGGTTTATCGTCTTACCCAGGATGCGGATGTTTTTTATTGTCTTACCCAGGACGCGGTGTAGTTTACCGTCTTACCCAGGATGCGGATGTGGCTTATCGTCTTACCCAGGACACAGATGTGGTTTATCGTCTTACCCAGGACGCGGATGTTTTTTTATCGTCTTACCCAGGACGCGGATGTAGTTTATCGTCTTACCGAGGATGCGGATGTGGTTTATCGTCTTACCCAGGAGGCAGATGTGGTTTATCGTCTTACCCAGGACGCGGATGTATTTTTATCGTCTTACCCAGGACGCGGATGTCGTTTATCGTTTTACCCAGAACGCGGATGTAGTTTATCGTCTTACCCAGGATGCAGATGTGGTTTATCGTCTTACCCAGGAGGCAGATGTGGTTTATCGTCTTACCCAGGACGTGGATGTTTTTTTATCGTCTTACCCAGGACGCGGATGTAGTTTATCGTTTTACCCAGGACGCGGATGTAGTTTATCGTCTTACCCAGGACGCGGATGTTTTTTATCGTCTTACCCAGGACGTGGATGTTTTTTATCGTCTTACCCAGGACGCGGATGTAGTTTATCGTCTTACCCAGAATGCGGATGTGGTTTATCGTCTAACCCAGGACGCGGATGTAGTTTATCGTCTTACCCAGGATGCGGATGTTTTTTATCGTCTTACCCAGGACGCGGATGTGGTTATCGTTTTACCCAGGACGCGGATGTAGATTATCGTCTTACCCAGGACGCTGATGTGGTTTATCGTCGTACCCAGGATGCGGATGTTTTTATCGTCTTACCCAGGACGCGGATGTGGTTTATCGTCTTACCCAGAACGCGGATGTGGTTTATCGTCTTACCCAGAACGCGGATGTGGTTTATCGTCTTACCCAGGAGGCGGATGTAGTTTATCGTCTTACCCAGGATGCGGATGTTTTTTATTGTCTTACCCAGGACGCGGTGTAGTTTACCGTCTTACCCAGGATGCGGATGTAGTTTATCGTCTTACCCAGGACGCGGATGTAGTTTATCGTCTTACCGAGGATGCGGATGTGGTTTATCGTCTTACCCAGCACGCGGATGTAGTTTATCGTCTTACCCGGGATGCGGATGTGGTTTGTCGTCTTACCCAGGACGCAGATGTTTTTTTTATCGTCTTACCCAGGGCGCGGATGTAGTTTATCGTCTTACCCAGGACGCGGATGTAGTTTATCGTCTTACCGAGGATGCGGATGTGGTTTATCGTCTTACCCAGCACGCGGATGTAGTTTATCGTCTTACCCAGGACGCAGATATAGTTTATCGTCTTACCCAGGACGCGGATGTGGTTTATCGTCTTAACAAGGCCAGAATGTTGAACTTTGAAGAAGACCACACATACACAAAATGGAAAGACGGATGATCAGATGTTGAATGCAAATATTTTTGATGACAAAACTCCAACCAAAAATTTTTTATAAAAATTCATAATTCCATAAAAGTGATGTGTGGCTTGTAGTGTGACGGATAAAAGTGCGTTAAATGGAATCGGCGGGCCATGTTCAAATCCCGGTCTTTTCTCTTTATGTTTGTATAAATGCCTTTGGGAAAAGTTGAATCCATTTCTTCTTCCTCTAGCAATGGGTTAAGTAGGAGGGTAAACTTGGCTTTTAAGCTTTCGATGGTAACTCGTCTAAGAGAAAGAAAAATCTGAATTTCAAACTGCGGAGAAAGCAACGTGAAATCACTCCACTATTCTTTTCCAAGAATTCATAGAAATTCACAGATAACAAAGAAAAGAAATTTGTGGAGAGTTATGATCGACAAGGTTTTTAATAAAACAAAAATAATGGTTTAGAGTAAGAACGAAATTGACTGAGTGAAAACGATAGACAGATGGGAACAGAGAAATAAGGATTTTTGACGCAAGTCTCAGGAAAGAATGGAAAAATGAAAGAAAATATGAATAATAAAAATTTGACTGAAGTAAAACAAAAAGAAGCAAACAGAAAATTGAGAAAGAAGGAAAAATATAAGTAAGAAGCAATAAATAAGAGAGAAGAAGAACAAAAAGTGAATGAATAGAGAAAGAAAATGAAAAATCAAGGGAAAAAAGCGAAAATGAAAAAATAGAAACACCAAGAGAATAAAAGAAGAAAATTAAAAACGAAGAATCGAAAGAAGAAATAAGTAAAATGGTAAAAAAAAAAGAAAAAGGGAAGAAAATTAAAAAAAACAAAAACAAAGAAGAAAATAAACCGAATCAAACAAGGAAAGAAAGAATGAAAGAAAAAAAAAAGAAATAAAGCGAAAGAGAGAAAAAAGAATCAACCTAAAGAATAAATATAACTCATTCTTTGACGGCTGCCACCACTGACCGCAGTGAATACCCCCACTTTTTTTGACAAGTGCTGAATCTAGGAAATTAACGGCTCTTCAAGTGTACACCAGAGGAACTCAACTGGCAGATATACAGATCAAGATATCGTATGTAGATAAATTATATTAGGCTAGGAACAGCGATGAAGAGAACAGGGAGGCAGAGGTCGAGTAGATAGATGTGAAAACTGGAAAGAAGGTTGATGGGGTACAAATATACGCGGATTTTTAACCAGAGCAAAAAAATAAAAATAACATAACATAAATAAATAAAATAAAAAATAAAATAGAAATATGTAAGTATTAAAAAAAAAAAAATTATAAAACATAGAGTAAAGTGAAGAAGAATATGTCAATAGTGGCAGATATTATTGTAGCCAACCATTTTTTTTTCTTTTCCTCTTTTAAAGAAATAAGCATGGTGAGAGGTTGAAAAAATGGCGGAAAAATGATAAAAATAAGACAGAGGAGGAGAAATAGAAAACGAACAACAACGATAATAATAATAATATTAATAATAACGATAATAAGAGCGACAGTAACAACAACAACTACAATAATAATAATAATAATAATAATAATATGAAGAATGATGAGAAGAATGATGAGAGAAAAAAATAGACAGAGGTACGTTCACGAAAAAGTAAAAACAGAAAGAAGAAAGAAAAGAAAAAGGAGAGAGAGGATGGAAAGAATAGAATTAGGAGCAGAAACAGAAAGAGTTTCAGAATTAGTTGTAGGGAAAAGGAGAAGGATGTTAAAGAGGAAGAAAAGGGAAATTGTTTTGAAAAAGACGGAAAGGAAGAAAAAAAGAAGAAAACCAAGTTGTATGGAGAAAGAGAATTCACTGAAAGTTAAAGAAAAAAAAAAAAGAAAGATGGCGGTGGTATAGTTAAAACTTGATTAGGTGAGAAAAAAGAAGAAGAGGGTAAATAAGAATGAAATATAGAGAATGAAGGGTTTATAAGGAAGTAAAAAAAAATAGAGAGAGGAAGAAAATGAAAATGGAAAAGGGAAAGTAGAGAAAGTGCTGTTGATTTGGAGATATAAAAAAAAAACGAAAATTATTAAGATTAAAAATGCGAGAGAAATATCGGCTGGGATGGAGAAGGATGAAGAACTGCGATGAGGTAAATATCAAAACGAAAGAACGAAGGATAAAAAAGCCTGTGAGTAAATTTGCGAACAAAGTAACATTATTACAAACAAAACAGAAAAGAAAAGAGCACAAAAAAGAGATAGATAGATAAGAGCAATAGGGAGAGGAGGAGAGGTAGGAAAAGAGAAAATCAATAAGAAAGAGAGTGAGAAAGTGAGAGGTACGGAGAGAGAGAGAGAGAGAGTGGAAACGAAAAATATATCAAATATCAAAACCAAAGAACAAAGGATAAAAAGGCAAGTAAATGCCTGGGAATAGATTTGGGAAGAAAATAACATTGTTACAAACGAAGCAGAAAAGAGAGAGAGAAAAAGAGAGAGAGAGAGAGAGAGAGAGAGAGGTGTGAGAGATAGAGAGGTAGGAAAAGAGAAAATCAATGAGAAAGAGATTGACAAAGTGAGAGGTATATGTATAGAGAGAGTACAGGAGATGAAGGAGGGAGAGAGCTTTTTTTTCTCTCTCTTCATTTCTTTTTGAGAGAAGAATAAGAGGGGCGAGAGAGAGAGAGAGAGAAAGACAGAGTGAAGGAAAGAGAGAAGAAAAGAGAGAGAGAAGTATCGAGATAAAGAGAAAGAGAGAGAGAGAGGCAGAGAGAAAAGGGAAGAATGAGAGAGAAAGTAAAACGATAAGAGTGTAGGAAAGAGATCTTAAACGAGAAGTCAGATAGAAAAAGAGAAAATCAAAATGATACGAAGACAGTTAATAACACAAAAAGTAAAAAAGCGAGATAGACGTCTTGATAGACTTCTGCGTTGAGGGAATAAAAAGCGAAGAAAGAGAAAAGGAAGTTAGTCAGAAGTGAGGAAAACGTAATAAACCGTTAGTTAGCTTACAGCTAAACTCTCCTTCTCCTTCCTGTTATAAGGCCCATAACTCTTTAATTTTCTCAACCCTTCAGGCTCAAAATGACATTTTGATGAGGTTATCCGACACCTGGTTCTTCCTCTCTTCTTCTCCGGCTACTCCCTTCCACCCACGATGCGTTCTGTCCCGTGGAACATAGATCTGTTATCGTCCTATCATGTGGAGACGTCCGTTCGTCTTTTTAGCTTACTTTTGGAAAGCACACGTATATTACCACTGGAAGACAAAGACAAACTCATATCCAAATGTCTTATAAACACTTACACGACGATAAGTACAACGTACTGGAAACACGCAAACGTATTCGCCCATATACCTAATACGGACACACGCCTGCATAAACAAACGCAAGAACATGTGCATCGTTAAGGTATTAGGTTGGTGCAAAAATAATGACGTAATAATGTCGTTTTTGGGCGTATTTTTTAACGTCAAAAAACGACATCATTACGTCATTATTTTTGCACCAAGCTAATATTTGCATATTTGAAAATGCTTAACTGATATCGATGCAAACACGCTGATGCACATACGTTTGCTTTTATGTGCCGTGTCCTTCCAGAACGTGAGTAATCACGACTCTCCACAACTTCCTATCCTTTGTAGCTGTTTGCAATGTGTGCCTTTTTAATACACCTCCCATTCGCTGTTCTTAACTCTTTGAGTCCTGCGTTCTTGTACAATTTTAACCATTCTACCTGAGCTCCTGAGTCAAAATTCGTAAATAGTTGGTATGAAATGTTACACGGTAGAAATAAAAATAGTTACAAATGTTTACCCACCGTTCAACCGGTCACTGGGCATTACGTCATTTTTATCTATCACCGGTAAAGCGGTGATCAGGGCTCAAAGGATTAATCTCTCTTGCTTTCTATATATTTTCTGTGAGTGTTAAATTCTCCAAGCCTTCCTTCCTCGTTACATATCCCCAACGTTTTTGATTCTAGCTATAAGTGTCCTTTTTGTTTTCATTCTCCTGAAAATGTCCACGTTCTTCATATATTCTTTACATTGCATTCTCAGAACTACGTCTCTGTTTCCCGAAAACTTCTCTTCATTTTCCAGCATTCACTTATATAGACGGATTTATATTACACGAGGTAAATAATTTGTTCGCTTAAATAATTTCACTTCCTTCCATCCGTAGAAAGAATTACCCTCCCGTAAGTTATCTAAACGTCATGAATGTGCCTTTCGTCAATCGTCAAGCGACGCGAAAGGTTATGACCTGCTTTGTTTTATTTTCAAATTACATTTTTTCGGCACAGAAGCTAAGTTAAGCTTGGTTCAAAATATTTTAAATAAACAGTATAATATCTGTTTTTATTAAAATCAGTTTTGAAAAAATGATAATTGATTTTTAAAAGAATATCAAAGTAAGATTTTAATCTTTTTATCAAATCGAAAAAAATGAAAAATGATTGATTATCTGTTTTTTGAACAAAAAAAAACAATATTTTTAACAAAAATTTCAGACGTGCTAGGAACGATTAAAAATGTAAAAAAAATACTCCAAAAAATACTTTTGATCTTTCCTCTTTAATAATAATATGAACATTAGACGATAAAATTTTTTGTTTTCGTCAAGTTCGGCGTCTTTTCATCATGCTATGCTCTTTTGTTTACATTTTCGTGGGTGAGTTGTCCCCTTTCATTCTCACGATGTGTCTTAATCGTGTTTTCAAATTGATTTTCTTAAAAAACAACTGTGTTTTTCCCATTTTCGGCGCCGTTAGAACCACCAAAAGGTAATTTTATGTAGTCCTGTGAAGTTTGGTTGAAATCGGCTAAAAAATGTAGGAAATTCGATCCAACATATAAACGTTACAGACACACACACACAACCTGCGTTTTATAATAAGTAAGATAAGATAACAATTTAGCAACCTTTTCTTTGTTTCCAATGAACTTTTCTGTTTATTAATACTTTGCTTGGTTTTTGAAAAGCATCTTTCACCATTCCAATTTGCTTTCGAAAATATCAGTGTCAGATTTCCTCTTGTCTGTTAAAAGACTTCCCATTTAGTTACATATCTACATTTGCTTGATTTTGACATTTCTAATTCATAGCGCTCACATACTGGGCCGTTTCTCTTGCTGACAACCATACAATCTGTCTTCTTACAATTAATAGTAATTCCTTCCCTTTTGTTCTCTTTTAGTATCTTGTCTAAGAGTTCCTGCTGTTTTATTTCTGTGTCTGCCATACTTACATGCAGATGCAAACATACGAGCGTGCAATCACAAGTATACACGCAGTTACATACAAGATTCATTTAATAGAAATAAATTTCAACATATTGAAATAGATACGTGTACAGGGACACATACAGATTCATATAGGCGTAACAATGTTCGGCTCAATTTGGGGAAGATAAGCAAGAATCAGAAACGTGTGAATATCTGAAACAGAAAAGAGAAAGTAGAGTTAGAGTCTGTTCAGATAGAGTTCCACTGATACTAGCTCAGCATGTTCTTTCCTTACTCAATTTTACATGTACAATTTCTTAAGTTTTATTAATGAGGCAAAGATTTCTTGTCAGATTGATAGCAATCCACACTGGATAGGAATCACAGTTGCAAGGCTGTTGGAGAAATATTTATTTTATAAAACTGTTTTGCTTCTTTAAGGTGAGTAATAAAAAGCATCATCCTTTAGGCAACGGAAAACACTTTTTTTTAAATAGTATTTAACACTTCTACGTTTTTTTTTAAACGTTTCACCCCAAGCAAGGCGGGAAGCCACTAGGACGCAAGGGGTTACAGAAAATTTGGAGCAAGATCAGATAGGAGTGATAGAAGAAAGGATGCGGAGAAGGATAGTGGATAGATCAAAGCAACTGGAGATGTCGATTGACATAGAGATCCTTCCCTGCCCTCCATTAGAATGTCTGACGCTCAACTTCTCGAGAGCAACTCTCTGCGGCTGCTCGGTCTCACGTTGACGGCTGACCTGAGATGGAACAAATACATTGAGTCACCGCAAGGAAAGTTGGCTCCCTGTGCCGCACCAGGAAATTTTTCTCCCCGGAATCGATCCTCCAGATCTACAAATCAACAATTCGCCCTTGCATGGAAGTATTGCTGCCATATATGGTCTGGAGCCCCTTCTGTTTGCCTCGGGGTTCTTGATAAGATCCAAAGGCGGATATGCAATATAAGTGGCCCTGATCTGGCATCTCGTCAACAGTTGCTCTCTCACAGACGCGCCGTCGCCTCTCTCTGTCTGTTTTACAAATACTTTTAGGCTTGGATAAAACATCTCTTTAAACAGAAAGCTGACTTTTATCTTAACGTCTGATTATGCCTCACCGAATCAATGAATAGATTTCAGTCCATGTTTTATTTAAATCGGAGGAAACACGGTAAAGTAATGGATAGCGGCTCGGATTGAGGAATCGGAGAGGCGAATTGGAATTCCAGTCGATACACTTGGGAAAGGTATGAACTCTCTTCTAAGCTAAGGGTAAATAGCAGGACAGACCGGGTTCTATAGCCTTGAGGGTGGCGACTGGTCTTGGAGAAGGATAGCTCTGAATTCAAAACTTGATCCTCCAGATTGAGGGCTGTGCAGTATGCTAACAACCTACTCACTTAAAAAACTGGCTTTTTATAGAAACCCCAACAATATCTTGCGGCCCCATGTTCCTCAAGGAATTTCAAAAAAAGGCATTATATATATATATATATATATATATATATATATATATATATAAGTGCCATTTCCGTAATGTTGGTTGATAGATTCACACCACATGACTGATTACAATAGTTTTTTTGTTGAAATAAAGAGAAAAGGCTTACAACGCAAAATTCTACGAGACTTGTCTTTCATGCGAAACTCGTTCTATCCGGGTTTTAAATAATACATTTCTTGTCTATATCTCTGAGATGAGGTATTATGATTACTTGCATTATTTACATTATTTGGACCGTTAACCTCATCTACCTTGCCATATTTACAACATTTCGGCCGTTGTATGCTCTGAACTTCTTCCGGTGACTGGATCTCTGAGATGAGGTATAATGATTACTTGCATTATTTAGAGAGAGATAGAGAGAGATAGAGATAGAGATAGAGAGAGAGAGAGAGAGAGAGAGAAATAGAGAGAGAGATAGAGAGAGATAGAGAGAAAGAGAAGGAATGCGAGAGAAATTAAATGTGATTTTTATTATTTTACGTACATAATGAAACTAAGCATGATAGGATTTCTTAATTAAAAAAAAACGATTTTCTTTTAACTTTATTTTTTTTTATTTGAACGCGTGAATGATTATACATGCATATCTGTTTATATTATCATCAGTCATACATACATACTTGTAAATTATATATATATTTAAGATAATAAAGTTGATAACCTGACTGAAAGGACTATTAATTTTTTTGTATTTTTCTTTCACTAAATCATGCAAAGCATGGCATTTGATGATTGGATTTAAAAGAAAATGTCGCTCTCTTTAATTACACACACAGGTAAATATGTAAACCCATAACCACCTCAACCAAGACACACGCACCGATATTCATACAGGCGAACATACACACGTGGCACATATATCAATAAGCACTTACGTTCATTTATGTTCATACACACACACACATATACATATATATATATATATACACGTATATATATATATATGTGTGTGTGTGTGGTGTGTGTGTGAGTGTGTGTGTGTATAGCGTATATTCAGGCAAAAATAATTCTACGATACAAGTATTGTAAATACCGACAAGGTCTGTCTGTCCTTGTTTTCCAACTTCAGAATAAGTTTTTTTCTGATAGACATAAAATTGGTAAACTTTCCAAAGTTCTTTCGATAGTAACTATAGTCGTTCATAAGTGACAGTTGCAAGGAATAGAACTTCAAAAAAAAAAAAAAAAGAAAAAAAGAAAAAAAAAGAACTTTGTAAAATTTGTAAAACAATGAAAAATTACGTGGACACACCTTGTTGGATTTGTCGGTATTGTTTAACAAAATTTGTTCTTTTAATATATATAACGTACAGAAATGAACGCACACACACACACACACACACACACACACACACACACACACACACACATATATATATATATATATATATATATAGGAAGAAATATAATTTTAAGGTGTGCTATATTTATGGGAGAGAGTGTTCAATATCAGAGCGTATGTAAATATAAAAGTGAACATTGAAGTCAACACTCAGAGGCCACCATGTTCATATATATATATATGTATATATATGTATATGTATATATATATATATATATATATATGTGTGTGTGTGTGTGCGTGTGCGCGTGTATGTGTGTGTGAAACGCGTCACAATTTTTTTTTCAATTTATCATGCATCTTTTCTTTCGAAACTCCTCTTGATATATAAAAATTTATATCATTATCCTATATATATATATATATATATATATATATATATATATATATATATATATAATGCTTCGTTTAATATATATATATATATATATGTATATATATAACTTTATTTTATATATATATATATATATATATATATATATATATAGGTCACGAGTGGTGAATTGTCGCCATTTCATATTTTAAATATGGCGCATACACTTTGTTTTTGATTTTGTCTACTGCTCAGTATAGTAAGGTCAGTTTGGCACCGTCATTGAGAAAAAGAGCACCATGATGCAATTGACTGTGCCAGAAATTTGAAAACGGCATGCTGTGCAGCTTTTTATTCGCACCGTTAGCGCAAATACGAACATTTTAGAGTGTTTGGGTGTCAAAGAGGACAGTACAGAAGATTCGGAAAGAGTTGGATTAAAGCAAATGGTGATTACAAATGTGTTTGGAGTGATCACTAGTGTTGGCGACGTTATGCCTCAATTCATCTCCCAACAGGGTCTCAAATTCAACACAGAGGCATATATAAATATACCTGTTAAAATGAGATATCAAACGTTATTTTCATTTTTGCGCAATTTAGACGACAACTTATCCACTGCAGCCAGTATATAAGTTTTTTAAGAATATATATATATATATATATATATATATATATATATATATATATATATATATTTATATATTTTGAACAATAAAAAATTAAGAAATTATAAATCTTTAGACACACTGGGTTGTAGATTAATATTCTTTCGTTTTTTTATTATTATTCCATTTAGATTCCTCAAATATATATATATATATATATTTAGTTGGATTGATGTGAGTTCAAACTCTAAATATATATATATAACTAAATATGTTAGCTCTATCACTGATATTGAGCGCTTTCAATAAATACCATACATATATAATATATAAATAATATATATAAAACTGCATATATATATATATATATATATATATATATATATATATATATATATATATATATATATATATGCATACATTTTTAAACACACACACATATATATTATGATTTTTTCATATAGACAAAAACAATTTACTTGCTACAAAGATGCAACCTTGTTTCGGTGCATTTAGCTTCTCACCAGTCGAGGTGCAATTAAATATAACTGTAGTGATTAATACACTGTATTAATGTACTAGTGTACTAGTGTAGTAGTACCATGTAATTGTAGTGAGTAAATTGTTTTTGTTTATATGAAAAAATTATAATAAATAATATATATGTAAGAAAAATCTTTATTGTATCCAGGATAATTTTAATGAAAATATCAATGTACATATATTGGGATATTTTATATACAAAAAGATATCTGGTAATTATTTGTTTAAATAAAGTTAGCGCACATAATGAGGAAAGAGGGCTTAGAAAATGTAATACTCACAGGACATGTTGAAGGCAAGAAGGACAAAGGAAAACAATGCATAATCTAGTGAACTTGAGTAAATAGTTGGTGGAACGAAATTTAAGACAAACAAAAAGACAATAGGTATTAATAGCGACAAAGGACAGGAAATAGTGAAGAGCCATGATCGTCAACGTCCTGAAGGGACACGGAACATAGAAGAAGACGAAATAAAAGTAATAAACATTCTAAATACGTACCATTGTTATTTCAAAAGGTAAATTATTGGAATACGTACTTTTCTTTAGCACATTTAATCAATTTCAAAAAACAAGTTTTCACTGTCGGAAGCAAATAGATTCAGTAAATATATAATATCTTCAGTAAATATGTAATATATTCAGTTAATATGTAATATATTCAGTAAATGTATAATATATTCAGAAATATGTTATATATTCTGTAAAAATATAATAAATGCAGAAATATGTAATATATTCGGAAATATGTAATATATTCAGTAATATGTAATATATTCAGTAAATATATAATATATGCAGAAATATGTAATATCTGCTGAAATATGTAATATATTCTGTAAATATATAATATATGCAGAAATTATATTCAGTAAATATGTAATATATTCAGTAAATATGTAATATATTCAGTGAATACATATATATGCAGAAATATGTAATATATTCAGAAATATGTAATATATTCAGTAAATATGTAATATATTCAGCAAATACACATATATATATATATAAATATGTAATATATTCAGTAAATATGTAATATATTCAGTAAATACATATATATGCCGAAATAAGTAATATATTCAGAAATATGTCATATATTCAGTAAATATGTAATATATTCAGTAAATACATATATATGCAGAAATATGTAATATATTCAGAAATATGTAATATATTCAGTAAATATGTAATATATTCAGTAAATATTTAATATTTTCAGTAAGTATGTAATATACATATGACATCAGTATCAGTGTTTTATCTATCATCAATCTTTGAGGAATGTTAATTTTAATTCTGGTTCCGATTATTGGGTTTGTGGGCAGTTTAATATATAATTTTCCTTTTCGCGGGAAATGGAATCATCGTGCTGAATTCAAATTCTGGGCTAGTCTGTTGTATTTACTTTCGCAAAATGTCACCTTTTTTAGAAAGACATGTATCCGTCTCTTCTGATCCTTAATTAAGAGTTAAATAATAGAGAATAGATTGGGTATTGAAAAATTTTGATTTCTCAATCGTAGAGAAGGAAACCATTCCATTATCTTTCCCCACAAAATGCATGGCATTTCATGCATAATAAAGGAAACATGATCTCAGGAGAGCTATGATCGTCTACGTCCCGAAACGATATCGTATTTAAAAATAAATTGGTTACGCTTGCTATCAGCTTTTCATTCAAAGCAAAAACTGTAAAAATATTCTGTCTTAAGTATAGTTACATTTACAATACCTACGTGGCATAAATATCTTTCATTTGTAAAATTCTTTCTCTGTCTGTTTGTTTGTTTGTTTGTTTGTTTGTTTCTATCTTTCTTTCTTGCTTTCTAAACTCCATCGCTACTTTGCTAGTATTTTTTGAGTTTTTCTCTTTCTTTCTTTCATTCTTTCTTTCTTTCTTTCTTTCTTTCTTTCTTTCTTTCTTTCTTTCATAACTCCGTCGCTACTTTGCTAGTATTTTTGACAGTTCTTTGTTTGTTTGTTTGTTTGTTTGTTTCTTTCTTTCTTTCTTGCTTTCTAAACTCCATCGCTACTTTGCTAGTATTTTTTGAGTTTTTCTCTTTCTTTCTTTCTTTCTTTCTTTCTTTCTTTCTTTCTTTCTTTCTTAACTCCGTCGCTACTTTGCTAGTATTTTTGACAGTTCTTTGTTTGTTTGTTTGTTTGTTTGTTTCTTTCTTTCTTTCTTGCTTTCTAGTAAACTCCATTTCGCTACTTTTTCTAGTATTTTTGAGTTTTTCTCTTTTCTTTCTTTCTTTCTTTCTTTCTTTCTTTCTTTCTTTCTTTCTTTCTTTCTTTCTTTCATAACTCCGTCGCTACTTTGCTAGTATTTTTGACAGTTCTTTGTTTGTTTGTTTGTTTGTTTCTTTCTTTCTTTCTTTCTTGCTTTCTAAACTCCATCGCTTCTTTTGCTAGTATTTTTTGAGTTTTTCTCTTTCTTTCTTTCTTTCTTTCTTTCTTTTTCTTTCTTTTCTTTCTTTCTTACTCCGTCGCTACTTTGCTAGTATTTTTTGACAGTTCTTTGTTTGTTTGTTTGTTTGTTTGTTTGTTTCTTTCTTGCTTTCTTTCTTGCTTTTTTTAAACTCCATCCTTCTTTTTGCTAGTATTTTTTGAGTTTTGTTTGTTCTTTTCTTTCTTTCTTTCTTTCTTTCTTTCTTTCTTTTCTTTCTTTTTTTCTTTCTTTCTTTCTTAACTCGTCGCTTTCTTTGCTAGTATTTTTTGACAGTTCTTTGTTTGTTTTGTTTGTTTGTTTGTTTCTTTCTTTCTTTCTTGCTTTCTAAACTCCATCGCTACTTTTGCTAGTATTTTTTTGAGTTTTTCTCTTTCTTTCTTTCTTTCTTTCTTTCTTTCTTTCTTTCTTTCTTTCTTTCTTTCTTTTCATAACTCCGTCGCTTCTTTGCTAGTATTTTGACAGTTCTTTGTTTGTTTGTTTGTTTGTTTTTCTTTCTTTCTTTCTTGCTTTCTAAACTCCATCGCTACTTTGCTAGTATTTTTTTGAGTTTTTCTTTCTTTTCTTTCTTTCTTTCTTTCTTTCTTTCTTTCTTTCTTTCTTTTTCTTTCTTAACTCCGTCGCTTTCTTTTTGCTAGTTTTCTTTTTGACAGTTCTTTGTTTGTTTGTTTGTTTCTTTTCTTTTTCTTTCTTTCTTGCTTTCTAAACTCCATCGCTACTTTTTTCTAGTATTTTTTGAGTTTTTCTTTTTCTTTCTTTCTTTTTCTTTCTTTCTTTCTTTCTTTCTTTCTTTCTTTCTTTCTTTCTTAACTCCGTCGCTACTTTGCTAGTATTTTTGACAGTTCTTTGTTTGTTTGTTTGTTTGTTTGTTTCTTTCTTTCTTGCTTTCTAAACTCCATCGCTACTTTGCTAGTATTTTTTGAGTTTTTCTCTTTCTTTCTTTCTTTCTTTCTTTCTTTCTTTCTTTCTTTCTTTCTTTCTTTCTTTCTTAACTCCGTCGCTACTTTGCTAGTATTTTTGACAGTTCTTTGTTTGTTTGTTTGTTTGTTTCTTTCTTTCTTTCTTTCTTGCTTTCTAAACTCCATCGCTACTTTGCTAGTATTTTTTGAGTTTTTCTCTTTCTTTCTTTCTTTCTTTCTTTCTTTCTTTCTTTCTTTCTTTCTTTCTTAACTCCGTCGCTACTTTGCTAGTATTTTTGACAGTTCTTTGTTTGTTTGTTTGTTTGTTTCTTTCTTTCTTTCTTTCTTGCTTTTCTAAACTCCATCGCTACTTTGCTAGTATTTTTTGAGTTTTTTTCTCTTTCTTTCTTTCTTTCTTTCTTTCTTTCTTTCTTTTCTTTCTTTCTTAACTCCGTCGCTTCGCTTCTTTGCTAGTATTTTGACAGTTCTTTGTTTGTTTGTTTGTTTGTTTGTTTCTTTCTTTCTTGCTTTCTAAACTCCATCGCTACTTTGCTAGTATTTTTGAGAGTTTTCTTTCTTTCTTTCTTTCTTTCTTTCTTTCTTTCTTTCTTTCTTTCTTTCTTTCTTTCTTTCTTTCTTTCTTAACTTTCCATCGCTACTTTGCTAGTATTTTTGACAGTTCTTTGTTTGTTTGTTTTTTGTTTGTTTCTTTCTTTCTTTTCTTTCTTTTTTTCTTTCTTTCCTCCTAACCCGTCGCTACTTGCATCGCTTGACAGTTCTTTGCTAGTATTTTTTTTCTTTTTTCTTTTTTTCTTTCTTTTTTTCTTTTTTTGAGTTTTTCTTTCTTTCTTTCTTTCTTTCTTTCTTTCTTTCTTTTTCTTAACTCCGTCGCTACTTTGCTAGTATTTTTTTGACAGTTCTTTGTTTGTTTGTTTGTTTGTTTGTTTCTTTCTTTTCTTTTCTTTCTTTCTTTCTTTCTCCATCGCTACTTTTTTTTCTTGCTAGTATTTTTTGAGTTTTTCTTTCTTTCTTTCTTTCTTTCTTTCTTTCTTAACTCCGTCCTTTTTTTTCTTAGTATTTTGACAGTTCTTTGTTTTTTTTGTTTTGTTTGTTTGTTTCTTTCTTTCTTTCTTGCTTTCTAAACTCCATCGCTTCTTTGCTAGTATTTTTTGAGTTTTTTCTTTCTTTCTTTCTTTCTTTCTTTCTTTCTTTCTTTTTTTGTTTCTTTCTTAACTCCATCGCTACTTTGCTAGTATTTTTGAGTTTTCTTTCTTTTCTTTCTTTCTTTCTTTCTTTCTTTCTTTCTTTTTTTTCTTTCTTCTTTCTTTCTTTCTTTCTTTTTTCTTTCTTAACTCCGTCGCTTCTTTGCTAGTATTTTTTGACAGTTCTTTGTTTGTTTGTTTGTTTGTTTGTTTCTTTCTTTCTTTCTTGCTTTCTAAACTTTTTCGCTTTCTTTCTTTTTTCTTTCTTTCTTTTCTTTCTTTTCTTTTTCTTCTAGTATTTTTTTTTTTGAGTTTTTCTTTCTTTTTTTCTTTCTTTCTTTTCTTTCTTAACTCCGTCCTTTTCTAAACTCCATCTTTGCTAGTATTTTTTGACAGTTCTTTTGTTTGTTTGTTTGTTTGTTTCTTTCTTTCTTTCTTTCTTTCTAAACTCCATCGCTTTGTTTGTTTGCTTGTTTGTATTTTTTGAGTTTTTCAACTTTCTTTTGCTTTTTTTTGGTTTCTTTTTTCTTCTTTCTTTTCTTTTTTCTTTCTTTCTTTCTTTCTTAACTCCGTCGCTTACTTTGCTAGTATTTTTGACAGTTCTTTGTTTGTTTGTTTGTTTGTTTGTTTGTTTCTTTCTTTCTTGCTTTCTAAACTCCATCGCTACTTTGCTAGTATTTTTTGAGTCTTTCTCTTTCTTTCTTTCTTTCTTTCTTTCTTTCTTTCTTTCATAACTCCGTCGCTACTTTGCTAGTATTTTTGACAGTTCTTTGTTTGTTTGTTTGTTTGTTTGTTTGTTTCTTTCTTTCTTGCTTTCTAAACTCCATCGCTACTTTGCTAGTATTTTTTGAGTTTTTCTCTTTCTTTCTTTCTTTCTTTCTTTCTTTCTTTCTTTCTTAACTCCGTCGCTACTTTGCTAGTATTTTTGACAGTTCTTTGTTTGTTTGTTTGTTTGTTTGTTTCTTTCTTTCTTTCTTGCTTTCTAAACTCCATCGCTACTTTGCTAGTATTTTTTGAGTTTTTCTCTTTCTTTCTTTCTTTCTTTCTTTCTTTCTTTCTTTCTTTCTTTCTTTCTTTCTTAACTCCGTCGCTACTTTGCTAGTATTTTTGACAGTTCTTTGTTTGTTTGTTTGTTTTTTGCTTTCTTTCTTCCACCTTGCAATCAATCGTATATTTTCCCTTCAATCAGAGTGACTCTGTGCCTTCGTAATTGTACTGGTGATTTCTAATGGAGATAAATGGCATCTTAAAAATCCGATGAAAACGATGAGTCGTTAATGGCGTAACAAGAACGCCTTCTTCATCGATTATTTACTTTTACTCCACAGGAAAATCAAGTCTAAGAAAATACACCTTGTCTATACACGCAGATATTATAAAATCATATGTTAGATTTTATTATGCAAGTCAATATTTTCAATATAATATCGATATTAAACCACTGAGGTAGTAAAATTCCCAGAATATACTGATATTTATATCAGCAAAATAGCATTTCAGTTTCAGCTTATAGTATCTTTTTTGGCAATGTGGGCAATAATAAACTTTGCAGTCTTTTATGGATATATTCTATAGCTTTAATCTTCGTGATTGTGACCTGTAATTCACAAAAAATATTTGACTAAGAACTTACAATAGTTTTAACTTACTTTGACGCCATCACCAACTTTGAAGAGACCTATAATTTTACGGCCTACAATACTAACACAAAACATTACTCCACCTCTCTTGTCTCCCAAGTAGTTCTGGTGGACTATTTTCTCGAAGGACCGAAGCTGTATCCCAGCCATCAGTTCCATCTAATGTAGCTCTCTATTCATAATTAAAATGACTTCTGAGAAATCAGTTTTCATTCACTTCTTAGCGTTGCTTCCTGAGATGTAGTAGTTTTCTTGTTTTATAGATTTAGCGGATGTTTATATTTTTCATCATTTCTCTGTCTACACCTACAACATAAGCTTCTTCGTATGTTTTCGTATGAGTTAATATACAAGGAAGGAGGGGGGAAAGAGGGAGGGGAAAGAGAAGAAAACGTTAAAGAAAGAGAAGAGAAAAAACGAGGAAAATAGAAATATATAGAGGGATGACCACAGTTACTGTTTGAGGGGAAGTTCGTTTCTTTTTGTTTGTTTTTTTTTATTTATTTTAACTTGTTCCCCGATGACGTCTTGGTGTTTCTAGTACGGCTTTTTTTCCTGTCCGGGAAAGGGAGAATGGGGAATGGAAAAAGACGGGAAGGAAAAAGAAAATGGAAAAAAGGTGGGGGAAGGAAAAAGAAAAGAAAGAAACACGTTTCTGATCATAATTCCTATGACCAACGAATGTTTTTTTTTTAAGTGAAGTACACAAGGATCTGCTGGAACTGTTCAGCAACCTTGATATATTCTGGAAAGATATCAGAATAATCAAGAATCTATACTGGCAGCAAACAGAATGCATGCGCATAGAGATCGAGTTCAGCGAATATACAGATATAGAAAGGGGCTTAAGGCAAGGATGCGTCTTCTTACCAGACCTATTCAACCTATACAGCGAGGAAACTCTACCGGGATTTAGCGTTGACAGCCACAATCATAACAACATTGGGATGACCAATGACACATTCTAGAAGCTGGGCAGAGTATTGCGAGACAGGAGGATTTCTTTGGTAACGAAGAAAAGAATACTGACCTGTTACGTGACATCTGTCCACATTTACGGCAGCGAATGTTGGGCGGTCTCCTCAAAGATGAAGAAGAGACTAGATGTGGTTCTACAGAAGGATGCTGAGCGTGTGAGCAATGATGGGGTCTTGGAGAGAATGCAAACAAGGTACATTAACATCAGGAAGAAACATATGCACGCTCTGTTGAATATATATATATATATATATATATATATATATATATATATATATATGGAACCTTAAAGTTAACATGGAACCTTAAAGTAGTCTGTTTTTTTAAATTTATATATATATATATATATATATATATATATATATATATATATATATATATATATATATCATAAGTTAACATGGAACCTTATTATATATATATATATATATAATATATATATATATAAAATATATATATAATATAATATATATATATATATATATATATATATATATAATATATATATATATATCATAATATCTATATATATATCATAATATCTATATATATCATAATATATACATCATCATATATATATATCATAATATATATATATATATATATATCATAAGTTAACATGGAACATTAAAGTGGTCTGTTTTTATTTAAATTAATATATATATATATATATATATATATATATATATATATATCATATGTGATGTTTTCTTTTTTGTTATGTTTTTCTCTCTTTCTGTGTTTATTGTTTTCATCACAGTACGTTTTAAATGGGTTTTCATTATATTTGATTTTTTTTGCTTACATCAGTAGCAATTTTAAAATACTTGTTCTAATTTGGAAATTTTCTTTGTATCTTCGTATATTAAATTATTATAACATTAAAATATATTAATGATTGATTACCGCATGTTGGACCGAAGAGGGAAAAGACAAACACTCAGTTTGACTCTCTTTTTGTCTCGTCTTGGCTGAGAAGGAAGTGACGTAGGGCGTTTTGATTGGTCGCTTGTTATTTCAAGGTCAGCAGTAGTAGTTCTTTATATGTCCGTTGTTGTGTGTTTGGTGGATATTTGTTTCAGGATCGCTTGACGGAATATGTATTGTTCCGGTAGGCGTTCTTGTAAGGTTGAACAGGTATAATGTTGAAAGACCATTAAATTGTCTTGACCCCAAGTCATAACATCACTGATGAGAAAATCCTGCGCACCCGTTGGAGTGTATTTTTAATTTTTCTTGAATATATTTTTGTGATATTATTAAAGTTTTTTTTTTTACTGTCTTGACAATGTTTTTCGATTCCTCTTTTGCTTATACTCTGATCTCTATTAAACTGTTTTGAATCTTCTCATCACTCAATAAATCTTTTTTTCTTTTTGAGCTTATTTTATTCAATGGAAATCTTTAATGCCTGAAGTTAATAAATAGCAAAAAGTAGACTAGTATATCTA